TGTGTGTGTGTGTGTGTGTGTGTGTGTGTGTGTGTGTGTGTGTGTGTGTGTGTGTGTAAGTCAGAAGACAACTTGCAGGAGTTGGTTCTGGGCCTCCACTCTGTTGAGGCAGGGTATGTCTTATTTCTGGTGCACTTCATACTCTAGCCTAGCTGGCCTGCAAGCTTCTGGACGATTCTCCTGTCTCTGCCTCCCATGTCAGCAAAGGAATGTTGGCATTACAGAAGCATACCACAACATCTTGCCTTTATACATGGATTCCGGAGATCAAACTCAGCAAGCTCTTTTACCCAGTGAATCCTCTCATCAGTTCAAGACTTCTCACTGTCTACAATTTCTTTTAATTACTGATATATGTACCATTATTATCTCATGATGAGACATAGCAGCTTTCATTAGATTCTTGACTGTTTAGGATTTCTGAAAAGGATGTGGAATGTGATTGAGGATTTAACACAACAGTGAATCCAGAAATAATTCCAAAAGGAGATACAGCCTAGGGCAGACACTTCTGTGGCTCATCCTCACTTCATTCTACTGATGTCTTTCTTTTAAAAACTTTTTATGAGAAAAATGTCTTTTAATTTGAAAATCTTAAAAATAAATTTAAAAGCAAACAAGAAAACCTTTGATGGTTGAGGTGGAACAGACCTTTAACCCTACCACTCAGGAGGCAGAGGCAGGCAGACCTCTGTGTGTGTGGGCTCCACAGCTTCTGCCCATGAACACCATCGAGCCCTCAACAAGCTCAAAAGTTCATGCTTGCCTAAGTTTTACTCAAGACATCCAGACATGATTCCATAAGTCCTTTCTTTGTAGGTAATGCCTCCTCACAAGTTATTTTTCCCTCTGTGTGAAGAATATGTGTGAATTAAGCATGCAGGTGCCATATAAGAAGATGGCTGACACACAGTGTCCTCCTCTTCTGTCACTCTCTCCCTTATTCTCTTGGAACAGGGTCTCACAATGAAGCAGAGGCTCCTTGTGCTGGCTGGCTGGCTGGCTGGCTGGCTGGCTGGATGGATGGATGGATGGCTCCCCAGTGCCGCAGTTACAGGTGTGCACAGCCATGCCTGGCTTTTTACCTAAGTGCTGGAGATTCCACCTCAGACCTTCAGGCTTGTGTAGCAAGTGCTTTACCTTACAGATCCTACTTCCTGGCATCGTTCTAGTCTACAAATTCTTAGAGAAAAGGACTATGCTGTATACATTTCATTACCCCTAACAGCACAGCATACTCTGTTGGAAACTGTTTGACAGCACATTTCAAGACTCTAAAGGGTCAAGAGCTAATAATAGACTGTGTCACTGATGCAATTTCTCCCTCAGTTTTCCTCTGAGAAATAAAGAGATTTGCTACAAATATTTTGAAGTCTGTAAGTGAAAAGTAACTAAGCCAAATGTTTAATTTGCTAACATGTACCAAAGAACTAGCACCCTTGTACTTTTTGCAGCATTAGCCCTTTAAGGCCCAATATCCATACACTTCTGAGAAATGCTTTTGGGACATAGCCATAGACTGTCCCCCTGGCTGTTTTCCACTCCAACTCAGAAAACTGAATGCATGGGAAGGAGCACTTACTAATCTTCCTGTGAGAGTTCCCAGGTGGGGCAGTGGAGCAGTTCCGATCCTCTGCGGTTTTCCCCTTTGAAAGCTGAGGATGAAGGAGGTACAGCACATCAACAGCAGCTCAGAACCTCAAAGTCATGGAACACCGCATGTTAAATGAAAAAAACCAAAAAGCTGGGAGACAAAAATTAAGTCAGAAATCAAACCAAGTATCAACATTAGAGAAACGTCCTTTTAAAAGCCACCAAAAGAGTCAAGAAGGTAAAACTGATCAAAGCAAAATCAAAGCACAAAGGAAATAAAATCTTATAATTGTCTGCTCTACCCATGCTCATCCAAGTGACAGGTGACGTGCGGCATCCTGGATTCTCATGCTCAACTCAGGCTGCCTGGAGAATTCCTGGGTGAGAAGAAACTAAAATCTTCTCACTTTACTCTAAGCATGAGTGTAAGGTGAAGGTTCTACACCTCTTCACAAAGAACAAGTCTGTAGCCTACAAAAACCTGCTTGGAGGTGGAACTAAATAGGGGGTCTGCCTTAAAAGACCCAGCAAGACACCCCAGAACCAGGAATGTTGGGCTTAGTGTCTATATATGACAGTTTTGTCTTGGGAGAATTACAGAAATGACACTAGACACAGTATCTTATACTCTGGAACCATTAAATATGGAAACCCTGGTTTTCATCCTATGAACAAGGCTTTTCTTAGAGCATCTTTATGGTCTATCAACTTGCAAAGATGCCTAGTCTTTTGTCCTTTTCCTTTGAATTATAGTGCTGATTGGATTATGAACTAAAAGATCCAGGTTTAAACCCTGGCCTTACATTTTAGTTGTAAATCTAGGCTAAGATTTCTTACCTATAAAACTGAGATATAGCAATCTTAACGAATTCAAAGAGATGGGTTTTTAAAGAGACGATGGATTTGAAAGGGCTGTGTGACCTTTACAGGGTTTTACTGGAGATGATTTTTATTACAACAACATTAGATTTTCACTGACATATGTCTAAGAGAATTCCACTTACCTTAAATAGAATGTACAGTATGTACAAAAAAATTCCAAAGCCATAGATTGGAATGATCTGGCCCATCAGTCCTCTTCCACTACCCCCTCCTCCAGCACCTCCACCTGCTCCTTTGGCCTTTGCGAAGGCCTCTGCAAGGTGGGACCTCTGGAAATGAGCCCCAGGCATCTGACCATCTGAAGGTGCTGAGTGGTGATGCATCATAGGTGGAAATCGGCCCAGTTTTCCTGAAAAAAATTACTCAGCTTTATCTCTCTTTTTTTTGTTTGTTTGTTTTTCAAGATAAGGTTTCTCTGTAGCTTTGGAGCCTGTCCTAGAACTCAATCTGTAGACCAGGCTGGCCTCGAACACACAGAGATCTGCCTGACTCTGCCTCCCAAGTGCTGGGATTAAAGGCGTGCGCCATCACTGCCCTGCCAGCTTTATCTCTTTTATTTTAAATATGGGTATTTCAAAAACATCTTATGCATTGAAGTTCAAATAATAGAAGCAACTCAAACATGTTTAAGAAAAAACAGGAATTTGTAGAAAGATAGAAGTATCATACAGATACAAATATGTTGTGGTAATCTCTGTCTGTTCACTAAACCCATTTCCTCTTCCTTCTGGGTCCATAGCTAAACTACATTTCCCAGCTTCCTGTATAGTTAAATGTGACAGAGTTCCAGCCAAAGGAAGTTGGCCTATAAAGCTTCCCATAGGTTTTCAACTACATGATCATTTCCTTCTATAGGATGGATACTAATGGCCAGGGAGACCTTGAAAGTCATATGTTGCAAATGGCAGAGCCTCCATCAGCCTTGGTTCCTAGGTAACTGTGGCACAGGCCTCTACTGCTGCCACCCAGCTAACTTAGGGCCATCTGGTCCTGTTTGTGTAAGAAGCAAGCTTTCATTGTGTGAGGGCCATTATATACTTTGGAGTCTATCTGTTACAGTGCTTAGCCACCCCTATCTAATACGAAAGGAAATGTAATGTAGCCTCAGGAGAGCACAGAACCAGAAACTGGAAAGCCATCAGGATCCAGGCCGGCTACTTTCACATTCCAGCTCAAAGCCTCTCCTCTCTATGGGACCATAGCCTTTCCCCTTTATTTCTTTGCTCACATCTTCAATCCCTTTCTTCAGATAGCTCCTCTAATTTCTTTGTGCCCACAGTAGAAGACAGTCATCCCAAGCCTCTCAATTTGCAACTCCTTCAAGAAACTAGCTAAACCTGGCCCTAATTCCAAATTCCTTGGAGGAAGACTGAGTGCGCAGCTGTGGGAGGCAAGCATCCCTTTGAACTGGCTATAACTGAGCAGACAGGATTCATACAGTAGAAACAGGGTCAAAGGCCCAATCCAAGAAGAGCTTAGAGAAGGGGAGGGTTGTCATCCATTTTCTTGAATTTTTAAAACTCCATTAAGAGCGGCCAAAAGTTAACACCACAAGCCCAATTGGAACAACGAGAGGAAGCGATAAGTCTTCAAAAAAACCACAAATAAAAGTGTTTGAAAAACAGTGTTGGGGTAACACTCTAAAGCACAGAACACCAGAAAACAGAAGAACCTTAAGGAAACAGCAAAACTACAAATTTGCTATATAAGACTCCAACAAAATTCAGGATTTCCATCCAATACAGAAGACCATGAACAGAATCAGGAGGAAGGAAATCCAGGAAAAATCTCTAACATTTAAAACTGAAAAGGCATTAGATATCTATACTATAGAGGAAGAGTCTGCTACTCAATGCCATCACAGGAATTCACAGCAAAGGGACCAAAGATATGAGGAAGGAACTTACAGAAAGAGAAGCCTAATGGCTGCCAACACATAAATGATGAAACTCCAAGTATGACAGTGGCTGATAAGTGGTGAGTCAGCAATACTAACAGGCTGTGTGACCAAAGTGAGAAACTAGTGAGAAAGGACTTTCTACCCAGCAGGATGGTGGAAAGTAGCAAGAGTTGGCCAAGATATGGGAAGGCAAGAATTGCTGTGCACTGAGGTAAGAGTGCACACATACAACCATCCTGCTAAGTGGCACACCTGTCTTTGTGACACTATACACAGGCTGAATGATCCAGTGGTCCCTCCCTGGTGGGTCAATCTGGGAAAAGTTCTCAAATACAGTCATCGATAGGTGCTGTGGGATGGTCTGTATGTCAAATAAAACACTGATTGGCCAGTGGCCAGGCAGGAAGTAGGTGGGACAAGGAGAGAGGAGAATTCTGGGAAGCGGAAGGCTGAGGCAGAATGCCAGACTGCCAGCTGCCGCCATGACCAGCAGCATGTGAAGTCGCCGGTAAGCCACCAGCCACGTGGCAAGGTATAGATTTATGGAAATGGATTAATTTAAGCTATAAGAACAGTTAGCAAGAAGCCTGCCACGGCCATACAGTTTGTAAGCAATATAAGTCTCTGTGTTTACTTGGTTGGGTCTGAGCGGCTGTGGGGACTGGCGGGTGACAAAGATTTGTCCTGACTGTGGCCAAGGCAGGAAAACTCAAGCTACAGATAGGTGGGCTGAATTATTCACTACAGATCTGTGATGGAATGCTCACTATGATGATGTAGTAAGGAGCTTCAAGTAACTGACCTCCATAACTGGAAATAAAAAACTGAAATGGATTTGATACAAATGCAGAATTTTATATTTTTAGAAACTATATTATAAGATTGTCTATAGACAGACATGGTAGCACATACCTATAAACCCAGAAATTGGAATATAAGGCAGGAGGATTATGGGTAAAACTGGCCTGGGCAACACAGCAAGATCCCGTCTCAAAAGTGGGAAAGGGAACGGAGCATGTGTAATAGCTCACGGGTAAACAGTTGGCCTGCCATACCCAAGGCTCTAGATTGAATTCCCAGCTGAAACACGCAAACAGAGGCAGGATAGAAAGAGCAAGAAGAGAGACAGGAAGGAAAAGGATGCCTCACCACCTCCCAGTCTGCTCTGCCTTTCTTGCTGGCTGAGAGTCAAGAATTTTGACTGGACTAGCAAAACCACTATGAAGATGGTTTGCACAGAAGCAAGATTTACTCTCTGAGATTTCTCAAATAGGAGTGTTAAATCATCTAATGAGTCAGACACGGTCACATGTCCCTATAATTCCAACACTAGGGAGGTGGAGGCAAGAGGATCAGGAATTCAAAACCATCCTTGGGTAAATAACTAGCTGGGCTACAGGAGACAGTGTCTCAGAAAGAAAGTGGGGTCAGGGAAGGGGAGGGGCACAGAGAGAGACAGATGATAGATGAACTTATGACCATGCTTAAGCCCCAAACTTTATCACCACTCCTTCCTCGTCTTTGAATTGTATTTTCCTGAGACAATCTTACAAGCAGGTTTATAAACCATATTTATAATCAAAACACATGCCTGAACCTACCTTTTACTGTACAGTAAGGACTACTTTGACTTTTTATGACCTATGCTTTTATCTTAACAGCAGTCCTTTTTTATCTGTAAATATGTACCACCTACCTCTTAAGCCACCTTTGGATAAAATTCCTCTAAACAAAAAGTCAGGGCTAGGGATGCAGTTTATTTGGCAAAGCAGCTGCCTACCTGTTGCACGAATTCTAATTGGTCTTATAATAAAAACCCAGAGCCAGATATTGGGGTAAATGCTGAAAGATTAGAGGAAACAAGACACGGCCACTTCTCACCTCACCAACTCCTCTGCCGAAAGGGGAAGATCTTGTCTCCTCCCGCCTTTCTCTGCCCAGCCATATCACTTCCTGTCTCAACCTTCCTAGTGCTGGGATTAATGGCAGGTGTGTTTCCCAAATACTGGGAGAAAAAGCATGAGATCCCAAGTGCTGGGATTAAAGGTGTGTGCTACCACTGTCTGGCTCTGTTACTCTTTTAGACTAGATTAATCTCATGCAGTCCAGGATGGCCTTGAACTCACAGAGATCCATCTGCCTCTGCCTTCTGAGTGCTACGATTAAAGGTGTATGCCACCACTGTCTGGCCTCTATGTTTAATCCGGTGGCTGGTTCTGTCCTCTGATCCTCAGGCAAATTTTATTTGTTAGAGTACAAACAAAAAAAAACACCTAGCATGTCCAAGGCTCCAAGGTAAGTCCCTAACACTATCCCCCCCAAAAGTATACCAAAATATTTTCACTTAATCTTTTAAACTTAGATATCAATGACATCATTTGAACAATGTAACTTCAAAAGCTACAAAATCACATCCCATAAGTGTACACGCATGCATGCACACAGAACTAAGGTACTTAAATGTGACTCTCTTAAGAAGCCCACACCTACACACTGGGTTTATAGTATCCTTTTCTTAGTAAACTCAATTTCACTTTATAACAACTCCTAAATTCTTTCCTATGACACAAGTGAAGATCCTGGCTATACCCAATGAGAGTATCTCTGAGGAACTTCTTAGTTCAATACAACAGTAATGCTGCATTGCATTTCTTGCTGTGAATGATAATAGCATGCAAGTTGAACACACATAATTTCTTTGTATTCCTTTTAAGCAAACACAAAGGTACTTCTTGTACTAATTCAGTACAAAATAGGATTTGTAAACATTTTACTTTTCAAAATATATTGAGATTTTCTCTTAAATTTGTATAAGTAAACTATGCCATAGAAAAGCATTTTTTCCTGTAGAATACAAATGGTAATATAATTATTATATATAACATTTATTACTATATTGTAATAGTTATCTATATGGTCTATCTAGTTATTTAAAGCTAGGAAAATGACTATTATGATTTTAGTTTCTTATATTGTCTTTAATGGTTTTCACTTAGTTAAAAATCTCTCTTCTGAAAATTATACAATAAAAAATGCCTAGCCAGTATATAAAAAAGCAGTCTTTCTCTTGACACAATCTAATATATCAGATGGCTACTGATCAATAATCTAATTTAATGTATGTAGCAACATGCTCTCAAACTCTTTTACTGTTCTAATAGGCCTTCCAAAATGCCAAAAATAAAAAATAAAATCAGATAATGAGATTTAAAAAAAAACACATCATTTTAAACTGCAGACTGATGCTGTGGTATAATCCTTCTGTACACTGTGAAGATGTGTTGCTTTCATTGTTAATAAAAAGCTGATTGGTTGATGGCTAGGCAGGATTTTCAGGACAGAGAGAATGCTGGGGAGAAGGGCAGAGTCTGGGGAGATGCCATGAGATGTAGATCGATCAGGATAGGAAGTACACACATAAGGTAAGCGAGCCTTGGGGCAGCACACAG